AAAGGCTGAACTCTTACCAGTAACTCTGGGCATGCTTAACTAATACTAAGCCACAGAACACAGCCTAATTAGTCCAACAGGTCCTTAAAAAAAAAAAATCCACATGACCTCACTGTCAGTTCTTACACTGAGTCATTCTGGAGACCGGTTGAAACAGAGCCCTGCATAATTCTCTAACATCAACAGCGCGCTGCGTTGATTGAAGTGGACTGGATCCTGACTGCAATCACCAGGTGACCCCCACCCTCTCTGCTCCCTCTTTTTCTTCCCCTTCGGTTTTTAAGACAAGACACAACCCAGCAGCCTCCAGCAAGCATCCAGTCTTACCTATGTGGCTGCCTACAGTAACATTTCCCACACCTCCTTAGTTTGCGTGCCGATTAGTGATCACACGCTGTATGCACACAGAATGCTCTACTGCTAATGCTAATTATTTTGCATGCGAACACAAAATGCAGATGGCCAAGCCACTAACTGCCCAACTCGCAAGCACATTGTGCGCTCAAGCTTTTACATGTGTATTAGGTTGAATGCAATAAAACAAACCCATAACTTTCAAAGTGCTGTTAAAACATCTTTAAAAAACTTGACTCAAATCTTAAGTGTTCACATTGCTGAGTCACTTAAAAGTGAAATCAAATTTCCATCACATAGTACTCTTATTTTCTAGGTAGTTATGACTCCCATGTTTCACTCCGATATCACAGTCACTTAACTTTGGTAAAGCTATGCCTCTCCAGCATATCTTTTCCTTCACAGTAACGTCAACCTGGAGTGTAAAGAAATACGACCTCCATCCACCACAGCTGCATTGCCAAATTTCCTTAAAGAGGGTGCAAAACTGCAGTATTACCAGCTCAGTGTGTTTTCATCAAAAGAATAGCCGGTTTCATCACGTCTGTGCCAAAGGCACTACCTCCACAAAAAGAAATGCTTTGCTGGGTTTGTATCCCGTTACAGTGTCTCTCGTGGAGATGTGAAAACACAAATTCACTATGAAAATAAATACAGTGGAGCTAATAATTTCTTGTACTGGGTACACAGCCATCTATTTTCATTGCTTCCAAACATCTACCTCACTCTTAAAGACCTCAGAAGCCAACGATGTATGGACCACAGGAGCCTGCTCCTCTAGTTCTTTCTGATTTGCACCAGCTTTCCTGGGGAGAGCAAGGCGGTCAAGATGGTGTTTGCGCCTCCCAGATGCCAAGCACCTTTTCTTAACAGGTATGGGCAGGTGGACGCTACAGTTGCCTTCCTCCATTGTGAGATCTGTAAGTGGGCCATGAAATTGCAACCAAGGCACGGTGAAAGAGGGATTTTTGAACTGTGATGAAGAACAGCTAAATCACACGCATGCATCCTCGAAGCGGCACAGAGATCTGTAAAGATTTAGGAGGTGCAGTACACCTACTAGTCTCCCCTTTTGCTAAAACAGAACTATTTAGCACCAGTTTTCACAGGAAAAGCATTCACAGCAAAAGAATTTGCCAATACCTGGAGTTTTTCTAGCTTTACCAAGCTAGAAAATCCAGTCAAAAGACTGATAGAAAGCATATGAGCACTATTCTAATCAAATTTATTTACATGAAGTACTTCTGAAACAAAATACCAGGTACCAAATACATCACCAATAATTCAAAGAAACATAATAAGCAGTTTGAGATTCCAAGCAGTCTCCTGAAACTGTTACTCCTACAAACTTCTTTCTTCTAGCACTTTGGTTGCAGAACATAAGGTACCAGTAATTTACCTTAGAACAGGAGCTGACGAAATGGGGACATTTACAAAAAACGTCATATAAAACAGTTCAAAAACTGGTTTGCTTACCAAGGAAACATGCTTAGAAGTTTCCTTTTATGTAGCACTGAAGAACAGCAACTTGTCTTTCTTTTGCTTATGATTTTTGCAGTGACCTAAGATGTTTTCTTCTTCGGCTAATGCCTAGGTGACTCCCAGCTTTCACTTCAAGCTCCAGAGAGTCTAAATGCATGCATTGTGACACACAAGAATAACACCCACTTCCCACATGCACCACAACCAAATCATAGTTCTCTTTTCAGATTAATCTGATCTTTAAAAACTGTAAAAATATATTAAAGTAAGGCCAGCAATGAATGCGGGACTGTCCTCAGGAACAACAGTGCTCAATCCCCTTTTGAATCATCGCCAAACACTGAAGGTTTGGTGGGACCTGGGGTTCTTAATTTTTGCAGTAAAGCTCAGCTGGTTTAAACAACTTCCCCTGTGTTCATGAACATGGGAGAAAAGAGGTAGAGCTGATGCAAGAGGCTGTTCCTTTCGGGCAGTTCTGTGCTTTCAATGTTCCAGCTTCTAGGTTTCTTGCCCGCTTGGGAGGCTCTGAATGGAGAGCACCAATGGGATGCACTGAAGGTCACAAAGCAATGCCAGGAATCTGATGCAGACAAGAAAGATGCACTAAAGAAGCAAACAAACAAAACCTCAAACAAACTGCTCCCTTCTCTCACCTTTTTTATTTTTCTTCTTGCCTACACATCAGTGGCAAAATTTGAAAAGTGGTAAGAATAGAAAATAAAATGTTAATGTCATGAAGAGAGGTAGTTATTTAACCCACAATTTTCCAACAGCTTTTTGCAAGTACTGTCAAGGATTTTCCCTCTTGGAAGAGACACATTTATTTAACGGAGAAGCTCAGCATTTCTGTCATGTGTGACATTACTGAAACACTCAAAGATAGTTTCATCCACCTAGATGACAGCATGCATTTCTTGCATCCTTTCTACTGCATAAGTAAGTGTCCTGGTTTCAGTGCGGATGGATTTAATTTCTTTCCTAGTAACTGCTGTGTTTTGGATTTAGTATGAGAATAATGTTGATAACACATTGGTTTATTTGTTGCTAAGTGATGTTTACATTAGTCAAGGGCTTTTTTAGCTTCCCACAGAAGCTGAGAGGGAGCACAGGCAGGACAAGCTGGCCAAAGGGATATTCCATACCACAGAAGTCTCAGTATATAAATGGGGGTTGGCCAGGGGAGAGGAATTCACAATCGCTGCTTGGGACGGGCTGGGCAATCAACCAGGTAATGAGAATGACTTGTGTTGCATTACTTTATTTTTTATATTCTTTTACCACTATTATTATTATTATTATTTTCCTCTTTCGTTACTGTTCTATTAAACTGCCCTTATCTCAACCCCTGACATTTCCCCCCCCTCCTTTTCTCTCTCTTCTCTCTACCCCACCAGTGGGGGAGAAGGAATGTGCGAGCGGCTGCATGATCCTAGTTGTTGGCTGGGGTTAAACCATGACAGCAAGCCATGCTGAAATAGACCAGGATCTGCACGTTACCTTCTTTGATTTGATTTGCAAAAGGACAAAGCTTATACATCTCCAGAGTATGCAGCATACGACACCAGTAACGTCAGACCCTCTGAAAGCAGTTGTTGGCTTTTGCTCTGACCCACGTGTCATTAAGGAAATGGAGAAGAGAAGCTCCCAAACTGGGATGCTGGGACAGCCCAGTAGCAGGCAGGTCAGGCTGCTCAAAGAAGTGCACAGCACACTTCAGAGCTAGGAGTTGCCACCACCTGTGGTACTAACTAATATGAAAAAAAAAAAAAAAACAAACCCCGAACTAGTGAGCTAACAGAAAAATAATTGGGCATGGCTACCCAATACCCTAGACTAGCTTTTAAAATCAGTACAACTGTGCTGTAGTGAGCAAAGGATAAGCAAGGACAAGAAAGTAGAGAATCAAGCCCACATTTTTGTACCACAAGATTACAAGGCAGAATAACTTGTAAAATTCCTGCAAGTTGCTACAAGCATATTTTTATAAAAGTTAATTTTTGTTAATCACTGATTTTTCCCTACTTTTTTTTTTTGGTAAGTCAAAAAATACCCATATACCATACATTTTGTTTTTCCCTCTATACATACATGTATAAGTATGCAGACAAAACTTCTTCAACCATTTACTTTTCTTATTTTGCCACTAAGAGAATCATAAAAGAAAGAGGAAGCAGATGAGTCGTTTTACATTTTGCTTTTAAACGAAGAAAAATATGGGTAAAATACATTTCTTCATGGAAGTTTTGGGGGTTTTGGTAAAGGCATCTTCCATTTGAACTAATTCAGTGAGCCAAACATGTGACAAATATCGAGAATAAGTAGTTTTGGACCAAAGAGGCCAGCCCTTTGATTTCACCACGGCCCTGGTGTGTCGCTTGCCCTGCTTAGGGCTGGTGATGGACCCTGTTAGAGCGCTCTGAAATCAAATGACAAGAAAGGCGTTCCTCTGTAAAACATCATTACTGACCTGGCTTGGGAAGTGTGGATCAGAAGAACTTCCAAAATAAAAAGGGACAGGGAACTACTGGAGAGGACAGGGAACTACTGGAGAGAGCCCAGCGTAGGGCAACAACGATGATTAAGGGATTGGAGCACCTCCCTTACAAGGAAAGGCTCAAGGAGCTGGGACTCTTTAGCCTGGACAAGCGAAGGCTGAGGTGAGACCTTATTTGTATTTATAAATATCTAAAGGGTGAGTTGAAGGATGTTGGAGCCGGACTCTTTTCAGTGGTTTCCAGCGATAGGACAAGGGGCAACGGGCTCAAGCTGGAACACAGGAAGTTCCATTCAAATATGAGAAAAAACTTTATGGTGAGAGGGACGGAGCACTGGAACAGGCTGCCCAGGGAGGTCGTGGAGTCCCCTTCTCTGGAGATCTTCAAGACCCACCTGGATGCAGTCCTGAGTAATGTGCTCTAGGCATTCCTGCTTTAGCAGGGGAGTTGGACCAGATGATCTCTAGAAGGTCCCTTCCAATTCTGACAATTCCATGATTCCGTGAAATTTACCTGTATTAGCCCCTTGCCCTTGGCATCAGGCCCATATTGCCAGTTCTCGTAACATTTACAGGGAAACTGGCACACAGAACAGTGCAGCAAACAAAAGAATCAAGTCAAAAAATACCAAACGGGCCTTGATCCCACAGAAGCAAAGACAAGCTATACCTGGACAAGCAAGTTGCAGCTGTAGTCACTGGTGGTAACAGATCTCCTGTGGCAGAAGGAAGAAAGCAGGCATCCCAGCATCTGCAAAATAGCATAATTCAGTTTTGCTTTAAAATAATTATATTTGGAAAGTATTGCTAGGAAAAAAAAAAAAAAAAGAAAAAAAACTTAAGGAATTTCAATATTCCAAATAACAATGCCGGCAACTTCAGCACCCCCCGTCCTGCTGTGAGTTGCTGGGCTTCAAGTGCCACTCAGCAAATTCTCACCTTCTGAGCAGCCAGTGTTTGTATAACAGGAATCCTCCTATCAGCGTTACCAGCTGTGCCCAAAGCACGGCAACCACGAGCACGTACGCTGCAAAATCTCAACGCTCTCGCGTGTGTAAACACAGCACTTCTGCAAAGGCAGAGAATATTTTCAGAGTAAACACCGAAAAGATTTCGGGTCCTTTAGGATGTCAAAAGGCCCTCGTAATCTGCCGCTCACCTTCAGCACTTAACTGCCGGCTCAGCTGAGATGCCTCAGTAACTCACTGGGATCCCAACCACATCTCACGAGCCCGTCTTACCACCTGTGAGGACACCAGGTTTGAGAATGGACAAAACTTTTCCTCTCACAGCAGTCTGGCTCTTTAGTGCAGTACCCTCCCTAATGTTAGTTTGAAGCCATTAAAACACTGTCCAACACCGCAGCAGGAAACGCAGCAAGAGGAACTAATTTCTAAACCTCACTGCACGGATTGCAGCCGCTGCCCCAGGGAGATATAAGCAGCAAAAAATGGGAGACCTCGTCACAGCCCGATGGGACCCCAGAAATCCTTCCAGTGGTATGAGACAGGTGGAGAAAACAGGCATGCTAAAGCACTCAGGCAGAAGAATGTCTCCACCCCAAATTACTCACTTCTAGAAGCAGAGCAACCCTCCAAGCCCCTGAGCATACCTCCTCTTATACAAGTACACCTGCAGCTGATGGGAGCAGAAGGCTCGTCTGCTGATGATGTCAGGACTTCTTAGGACCAGGACTTTAATTAAGAGCCCACTCCTCAAGAGGACCATCTTGAAAGATGTCTCCTCAGCTTCTGACTTGGGAGAAAGCAGGAGGCAGCAAGAGAAAAGGCTGATGCTTTCTCCTCTAAACCACCTACACATGTACTTTTTCAAAATGTGCCCAGTTAGGACAAGTCATGTTTGGGTTAAGGAGACTGTAGAGAGAAGTTCTCAATCCCAGAGGAAAAAAAGGTTAGGGAAAAATATTACAACAGTGTTTTTGTTAAAGCCTGAAAACAAAACCGGATGGGGAGTGTTTTGGTCCAATCCTCAGTGAAACCTACTCCAGCAAAATACCTGCCTATCCATGAGAAAACCTCATGCAGCACACAAACATCTGGGCCATATTTTCAAGACAGGCCTCATTAGAAGTTAGCTATCCACGGCCTCCCGTTTAACAACATCCATTATGCCTAAAATTGTGATCGTTATTTTCCTGCTGTCGTAGCCTTCCCTTTTTCTTTGCAGACCAGCTTAATACTACTACTTCTGCTTAGAGGAAAGCATCTGACCACAGAGGCTATCAGGACTGCACAACGTGTGGCACAAAGACACTCTAGACATGCAAGCCAGACCTGAGTATTGTGTGCAGGTCTGGAGCCCTCAATATAAGAAGGACATGGACCTGATGGAGCGGGTCCAGAGGAGGGCCACAAGGATGATCAGGGGGATGGAGCACCTCTGCTACGAGGACAGGCTGAGGGAGCTGGGGTTGTTCAGCCTGAAGAAGAGGAGGCTCCGGGGAGACCTAATAGCAGCCTTCCAGTACCTGAAGGGAGCCTACAGGAAGGCTGGGGAGAACCTGTTTAGAAAGGCCTGCAGTGACAGGACGAGGGGAAATGGCTTCAAGCTGGAGAAGAACAGATTTAGATTGGAGATTAGGAGAGGGTTCTTTACTGTGAGGGTGGTGGAGCACTGGAACAGGTTGCCCAGGGAGGTGGTTGAGGCCCCTTCCCTGGAGATATTCAAGGAGAGGCTCGATGAGGCCCTGGGCAACCTGGTCTAGTTGGGGGTGTCTCTGCTGACTGTGGGGAGGTCGGACTAGATGACCTTTGGAGGTCCCTTCCGGCCTGGGCAATTCCATGATTCTATGATAAGCCAGCCTACCAAAATTATTGAACAAATTTGGGAAAGCCATCAAATTAAAAATGAACGTCTGTCTCGTGAAGAGCCTGCAGGCACGGTTCACCGCATACTTGCTGGCCCTTCACTACATGCTGCAGGGTTCAAAAGCCAGAGCCATGAAGCAAAGGGAGCTGTGCCAGTGACAACAGCCCAGCAACAGACCCAACCGGGGCAGGAGCAGCCCCGATGGGTGCCAGCACACGTGCAGCCTCCACCCCTGCTCATGGAGAACGTCTGTCAGCACCTGACGTTGTGTAGGCACCCCCTGGGGCCAGGAAGGCATTCCTCACAGCAGTGACAAGAGCAGGAATGAGGAAAACGGGAAGGTGGGGTATAAACTGAAGTGCAAGAAAACTCCCATTGCAAGGCGAGCCATCTGTTTCGGAGTGCTACTCACAGACTGAGCGGGGGGCTTCATCAGCTGAAAAAGCATCTTCCCCAGGTTAGAGGCAAGCGAGTGTCTGCCGGCAGGCTGGCATGCAGCGTGGAGGAAACATGGACTCACACTGCTCGTCACCACAAGCCCAATGGCTCCACCGTCCTCCCTCCTCTCCGCAGGGACGAAGGGTGCACAGGGGAAATTACATGTCCAGCACTGAGGTACCCCTCGCACGCTTGGGCATCTCAACACTCCAGGTAAACCTGGAGCTGCTCGCGATAGACTCTTTTTTACTTCAGCTGCATCAGAACAGTATTTCAGATCTGATTTACTGTCTAGACACAGCATGCTTCCACGCACTGCAACTGAAGAAGACTGAGAGCACCAGAGTGTGGAAAACAGACTGGCCTGAGCCGTTTCTTTTTCTTTCTTTAAAAACCAATATTGTGCAGCCTACATCAACATCCACGCAAAAAAAAAAAAAAAAAAAAACTTGATCTGTCCTGCCCCTCTTTTATAACAAACATACTCTTTTTTTGGCAGCCCCCAACAAACACCCCCAAAAAAAAAAAAAAAAAAAAAAGCTTGATCTGTCCTGCACCTCAAAAGCTGGCTGCTGAAAAAAATCCAGAATGCAATTAAAACATGGATTCTGTTAAGTTTCACTTCCCTCTGCAATTTTATAATCGTCTCATCCATCAATTTTGAAAGAATATTAATACTGGCATCAGCTGGCTCTCCACCTCTTCTGCTGAGCCAGCTTTTTCAAAGCCCTGTCCCTGCCTCTCAGCATCCGATCACAGACACTGAGGAAGAGGAGAGGGGGAGGCAGAACAAGGGGGGCCAGCGGGGCACACCCAGCACGGGGGTCACCCCACAGAGGAGCTGCACCTGTCCCCAGGGAGCTATGACAACTTGCAGTGCCTGAAGATCTGCCCAAATACACTTACCTCAAAAGAAAAACACACACACACAAATTATAGAGAACAAGGTCAGGGATTAACTGAAGCCAATACACAATCCCTACCGCAAACTAAGCCCAAGCCCTAGGCACACAGGCTCACTGCCACGTACCAGGCTGGAGACAGCTATGCCAGTGATGTGCAATTTTTTTTTGATATGCAAAACTTTCATTGTTGTTGATCTCTCGATTGATACAAGCCATTTCTCTGTTACCTTTCACAGACTAGACATCCTTGGCCTCCAAGTACCTGCAAGACCAAAGCTGAGAACTAGTCCCGTGCTCCTTTTAGTAGTTCTTTTCTTTTAAAATACGTGAAGTTCAGTACTCAAATACTAGCTCTTGAATTTATTGATGCACAGTGGTGATGCAGGGAGAATTGGCTGGTGCAAGTTTTAAGCATCTGGCTTATTATTTTGTAAAGGTGTACAAGCCGTTGAGTCATCCAAAGCCTTTTAAGACACTCTGTTCTGACATTATTTTATGAACCTACTTTGACATGGTTAATATCTATCATGGCCATGATTTATATCACAAACTCCCAAGAACACATGTCTGACTTAAAAATCATTCTCATCCCAACTGCTTCATTGCAGGTCAGCCTGGTCTGTTCCAAGACCAGATTTTGTTGGCAACTGTATTTTGTTTGCTGGTGTCATCCACTTTTCCTCATTTAGTTTAATGAAACAAAAAAAGCCCAAAGTACGTAAAGAAAGCCAATTGTTATGCTCATTTGAGCATAATCAGAAACTTCTGCTTCCTCCTCTCTTCCTGCAGCATGAGGTTTATACTACCGCCCTCTCCCTCCTCTGAACAAAGCTGTAGGAAGAAATTCACTGTAAATTGGTCAGAAGACTGACATGCAGGCCAAAAGCATCTAATGGCTTGCTGGGACTACAGACATCACTTCTCCGGGAAGCAGCTGAGTTGCACCAACTTGCATTTCAGGCTGGAAGCCTCTAAAACCTGCATACTCTTGCTTGCACTATCATGTCTCTATTCATTCCCAGAAAAAAAAAAAAAAAAAGCACAATCACTCTTTATGAACTGATGTAATTTCAGTCTCATATTCAACCCCATAAAATGGCACGTCCACTTAGGCTTAATTGTGGAAGGTTGCTGAGATCAAGCAAAACTGCATACCAGGGAACACCAAGAAACAGGGCTGAATGCTGCATATTCCTTAGGTGTAAACTATTTTTATAGACTTGGCCTAAAGCAGCCTGTTACCCATTGCCTGATCTCAGAGGATGCCCACAGTGATGGCTCGAGGCTAAAAGTAAGGAAGATTAATCCCCTAAAATGCTTTATTCAAAGGTACTGGGCTGGTCTTTATCTACAGCTTGAACGCACAAAAATTGCAGATCTAAATTGGAATTTAGAGCTAAATTGCACACAACCCTACCAAGATATCTAGATCTGCGACCTCTGGAAAATTATAGGTGGCACTGGTAGTAACAAAAGATGGGCACAGGCTACAGCCATGGCACCAGAAAGCAAGGGGAGAGAGAAGCAGGTGGCATTTGCTAGGGATGCACAGGAAGAGAGGGGAAGAAGAGGGAGCTTG